TTTGCAGATTAATAATTTTTTGGATCACTTTACGATAAGCGCTTATCACAGATGAATTTGAGAAAAAGATTGAATAAATGAAAACAAGAGAACCTTTTTTTTTCCAGTCTGCTACAAGTTCTCTGCATTTACTGAAGCTATAAGTTCCCTAGCCTTAAGAATAATAGATTAAGCTAAAAGGGGCTCATAATAAGCGAGCTGTTTAAAGTAGAAGAGATTACGGTTTCCGACAAAGGGGAAATTACCGTAACAAGAAGGGTCTAGTTAAGCCCAAAATATTTAACTCAAATTGTAGTGCTGCGGAAATTAAAAGTTCCACTACATTTATGTCGTTCAAGAGGCTGATACTACTGATAGTGTTTTTAGAAGAGCATACAGATACATGAGATGCATAGAATTTGTTCGGAGTATCGAATTTAAAATTTTTTAAAGCTATACCATTTTGTCGCGTTCAAAATAAAGTTAAACTTCTTTATTAATTTGTATAAATCACTCGCCATGCATCTTATCTTTTTATACATTGAAACGAAGTCATTAGTCAGCAATAATTCTTGAAACTAACTTTGCTAAACTGGTAACCTGTGGAAGGTAATTCTGCTCAGGATGCACAAGCTTCCACAAACTGGAAGCATCAGATAACTGTGACAGCAGTGGTAGGTACTTTTGCAGTTACGCTGCTGCTTTTACCAACGGAAACGAATACGCCGGTGGCTCATACATTTGCGGCACCCGCAATGCCTGCTTAGTCTCAGAGACCTGTGTAAATAGTGCTTGTATACATTTGTTAATAGCCAGTTACCGTTCAGCGTGAGGTACAACTACAGCGGACAGCTGCGACAGCAGTGGTAGCTACTCTTCTCTAATTTGCATAAATATCTGATGCCTTCAGCAGTTTCTCATAATTTTCAATACTTTAATTTGGTTGTATTTCAATTGTTTAAGCTGATAGACGATCGGACCAACACTTGTCATATAAATAGAATCAGTTACACATTTTATTCATACATGGTGTACACTTAACTCATGTCAGCTTTCTTCCAAACCCTTAAAGCCTTTTAGTTATTCAATAAATCGTTATGTAAACTCAATCAATTTGATCAAATTAACGACATTCTGTTCAAGAAACGCCATTTCGCAAATTTTTATTCTTCTTAGACACTACTAAAAACTTGTGTTTTTCAGAAGATTTTGCAAGAAATTGCCATCAATCAGCACAAGTTGCAAGTAAATTGGCAAGCTTTCTTCATCAGATTTTGGTAAGATGCCTCTGTACAGAGGGACTTCTGAGCTGAACAGTTTTTTCCCGTATCTTTGCATGATGACGCTAAAATTATAAATTATTTAGTGTTGAAAAGAAGAGTAAACAGTGTAAGCTGCATTAACTTTCACCTTTTCTATACAGCGCTAATTAACAGTTTGTCAAAGATAACAGTTTCTTTTGCTCGACATTTTTGTGAATATTAATAAATTTTTTCAAGCCTTCCTACTTGCAGCATTTGGAAACTTTTACTTATTAGGCTAAGAAGTGAGATTTCAAGAGCGGGAGGTAAAACAAGAACAATATTTGACGGTTAAGAATACTTACAATTGACGCTGCTGCTACAGTATCCACAAGTTTTTTTGCACTGTTGCTCCATAAGTTTTAGATAGGCGGAGTTGGTACAGAGTGCAGCATTATTATTACAGTCTTGAGACTTGTCTACGCAACCTGCATAAAAAAGAGAAACTAAATAGATGACAAGGTTGACAAAAAAGTTTTTTTTCGCTCTCAACCTTCTACAAATTTTAACATAAAATTTAGTCTTTACAAAATATTAGTTCCAAGCAAGTGAAACGTTTTTAAGGCATAATCTGTTCTTCAAAAGACTAAAAAAAGCTTATTTTGCCATATTTGCTTTTTTATGTTCGATTTAATGTCTTAGCTGCTGCTATTTTTGCATTCTGTGCAAGATTATCAATGACTTTAATGTTACTGGCTGCAGCTGAAGGTGTTGCGGTCGTTGTTGTCGTTGTCGAGGTTGTTTCTGCTGCAATTTCAGATTAAAACTTGGAGTACTATTATGGTCAAAAGAAGAAAAAAGATGAGGCTGTGAGGAAGGCTTAAAAATGGTACCGTTGCCACAGTAACCACAGGTTTGCTTGCAATATTGTTTCATAAGATTTAAATAAGCCGAATCGGTACAAAGTGCAACATTTTTTTCGCAGGTTCCAAGAATGTTTGCGCAATCTGTGCATAAAAAAAGAACTTTTAGCAGACTGAAAAGAAAAGGTTCTCTTGTCTTCATTTATTCAATTTTTTTCTCAAATTCATCTGTGATAAGTGCTTATCGTAAAGTGATCCAAAAAATTATTAATCTGCAAA